AGAAAGAAGGAAGGAAGGAAGGAAGGAAGGAAGGAAGGAAGGAAAGATGATGTTAATATTAAAAAAACCTCTAAGAACATATGTCTATCTTCATAGTAAAGATATCTTGCATTGATTCATTCAATTTTATGTAATTATTTGCATCTTCTGTTTAGCTCAACCAATCTTACAAAAGAGGCAACACTGTGATTGGCCGTGATATTTAGATAAATGGTATTTTGTAAATTGGAGTAACATAAATGCAGGCAGATGAGAGGATAGAAGTCCCTCTGTACAGCTGTCAAACCAACACCAAACACGATTTGTTTCTATTTCAAATTCACAATTGGTAAAACTACTAATAGTTGGTTTGGCTCATAATTCTTTTCTAATTACATAGACTTAAGTGTTCTTCCCTGTTTTTTTTTGGATGCCTATAGTTCCTGTATCATTCATTTGGCAATTATGTATATGACAAAATCATTTTAGTTAAACCACATTATTACTTGTTTTAAGTTGGTATTAAACTTTGTATAGTGTAACCTGTCTTTTTAGTTAAATGTTTCCTAAAAACAAAGCTTTGGTTATTTCTTAGAATCCCCTGAAAAGCTTTGTCCAATGTCTTTAATAAAATAGATGTTCAATAAGTTTATGAATTTGGTCAATTCAGACTAAGGATAAACTTTTCTTGATTTCAAAACACTGTCCTTTTACTTACATTTAAAAATTTAAATATGATTGGATTTTTTAAAGAACATTGTGATTCTCCCCTAATGGTACTAAAAATAGTCTAGGGGTGGGGAGTCACAGAAAGTCATCTCCAATCTATCTTAGTGAGGCAGTGAGACGGCTATTCATCATAGAAAAACTGACCTTTGGTTTTAGTCCTTTATTCATTAAAAGAACCAGTTTTAATTTTTTCTGAATCTGATCTTCAGGTTTTAATTGCAAACTTAAAAGTTTGATTAACTTTTAAACTCCAGATTATCACAGTGATAACTTTCCATATTTAAAAAATAAATATTCTATAAATCTAATTTGACTCCACTAAATGAAACTACCTCATAGCAAATAAACATGATCATTATATTTGTCCATAAAATGGTTGCTAACAATGTAAAGGTCTATAATATTAAAATAACACCGTATAGGTTAGAATTCATATTCTGATGCCTAATTCCCTTTCATGAATATAAAATAACAGTCTTTGTTAGCTCCTTCACACATCAAAACCATTCAATGCCTTTGTTCATTTGGTGAATATCAATAATATATCTATCCTCAAAACAAAGTAACAGAAGTAGTAGCCTGAGATAAACCTGAAATAAGGGTGCTGCCAGTGACACATTCTAGCTCAGCTTAGTTAGGCAATAGGTGATTCATCTGTCTGTGGCCTCAACAGTATGATGCTCTGGCAAAGGCTCACAACGGCTGACCTAATTCTGAAATATAAAGGACATCCATAAGGAGGAGTTCAGAAAACTAGGTTCTAAAATGTGGTAACCGAAGCATCTTCCTTATAGGAAAGCCTCATTGGAAACTAACAGATTTTTTAAACTATGATATGGCTGACTTGAAAACAATGTCAGTCTTTTATAACCAACAAAAATAAAATAAAATAAAGAGGGAAAGAAGGAGGGAGAGAAAATATGAACATATGATGATTATGTCATCTGTGGACTTTCACTGGGTGAGACTCAGTACTGAGGGTGAAAAGCTCAGGAGCACTTCCTAAAGTTTCTGAAAGTCTCTGTGTTCCCATATAAGCACACTATGGAATCAGATATATCAGCCATCTCTCACTCTCTGAACCATAGAGCAAACACTCATTTGCTCTCCAATTTTTGCATGCCACAACGGGGCCTCAGCCTTGTCCTGCTTATTGAAAGCAACATACATTGTCTTCTCTCCTAGTTCTTACGCTCAGAAACAATGGTGCTTTGGCTGGCAGAACAGCAAATAGGAATTAGCCTGAATGCTTCTGTGCTGTATCATCACAAGAGCAACGTGACTCTCTTGGCTTAGGAGGGGACTGGGACTCAGGAATCTTTAGAGTGCTTATTTCCCTGGGGCAAGGGAGCTTCAGTGAGTCACAGGCGGCACATGACAGCTGACTCTTTAAAGGAAAGCAGAAGGCTGGAAATGAATCATTTGTATATAGTAGTCAGCTTGTGGTTGGAACTGTTGCCACAAGCCCAGCGTCTGGCCTGGAGGAAGAGGGAGGGGTCCTGCTAGCTAGCTTTCCTCACATCAGCAGGGAGGCAGAGGGACAGTCACTGGGCCAGGTGCATGGCTAGCTCTGCTCTGTGGGGGAGTGTCCACTCTCCTCTGACCTTCCCTTTTCTTGAAGATGAGTAATGTCCACTGCAGAAGTCAAAGTGGGAAGAGCTTGGGATATGTCCCTACTCACCCCAAGATGAGGGAAGAGTGCACCATTAAGGCATTCCTGAATGTCAGGTGCTTCCTCCACCCCACAGCTGGCCATTTAATCCAGGGAGATGATTACCTGGTAGTATTATTTCTAGAACTGAGGTGCTCAGGCTCATATCCACAGGTCCCAAAGTCATTTCTGGGGTTTTCCAGGTTGGGGAAAGGAAGGAGATAAAAGCAAGGGGAAAGGAGTTTCCAGATTCTGAGTGCAGTTATTGTCCATGCAAACAATACAAAGTGGGTAGATTCTCCTATGTAACTTCATATTTTGGGGGCTTTTTTAACTGTTCTAAGAAGGACTGACAGTAAGATAAGGATTGAAAAATAAAAATAAAAATAAAAACAGACAAACCTACAATTGAGACTAATTTTGTAATAAATCACTTAGAGATTTCTTTCTTTCTTTTTTTTTTTTGAGGTGGGGAACTGGGGACAGAACCTAGGGCTTTATTGTAAGCTTCATTATCAGCCCCTATTTATAGATTTCAACATTTCTTCAAACATCAGATTTGACAGAAAGGACAGTAGTCATGGGAACTGCCACAGGGCTTGAAACGTTGATGTCTCTTCCTTTTAGAACTTCTCCTTGCACTTGACTTTCCTGCTTATTTCATCCCCCACTGTGCTGGGCTCAAAGCTTACCACTGAGCTATATTCCCAGCCCTTCTCCACTTATCATTCTTACTCTCATTTGCCAAGTTATCTTTACCTGGACTTTACATGTTTCAATTTTTCTTTCTTTCTTTTTTTTTTTTGTTAATTGTTTTTATTTTGAGATCTGGTTAAATTGTCAAGGCTGGTCTTAAACTTGTGATCCTCAAACTTTAGCCTCCCAATTAGCAGGGATTAGAGGCCTGTGCTATCTTACTGGCTCAATTTCTTTTAAAAGTTCAATTTGAGGCCCTCTTGGCACCTTACACTGTATTCTTGGGGTCCTATCAACATCAATGTCTTAAATTTCTATGTACATTTTGTCAAAAGACCAAATTACAACAATTTAAAGATCTGAATTGGTTATATTTTCTAGAACCAGGTAGCACTTCATTCCATAAAACAGAAAAAGCGTTCCAGTGAGTCTAGCAGAGGTGGTTGGTTTTAATAGATAAAAAAGGACAGAGCAAAGCAGAAACAAAAACTGGATGGGTCATTTAGAAGTTATTTTCCTTGTAATGTGGGGACAAGGAGAAGAACTGAGAAATAACTGATTGGTTAGCGTCAGGTTACTTCAGGTCACCTTCTTTTGTAAGAATTAAAGCAGAGAGAATCTCATTGTCATACCAAGTGAAACTGGACTGTTTAGGAAATTCAGCTATTATCTCTCTAATCCTGATTTCTAGGAAGGTCAGATGAGCATTTAATTTTACCTTGTTGTCTGTCTGTTTTGTTTTGCTGTTTTGGACTAAGTTCCTATACTGGGTCCCAATAGACCAAGCTGGAAGTCAGAATGGAATCATGCTGGAGTTCCATGTCACCAAGGTGAAATGAAATGTTCATCTGACTTCCTAGAAATCAGGATTAGAGAGATAATAGCCAAAGGCCTATTTATATTTTTAAATTTAACATTCCCAGTGACTCCCAGTTGTGCTTTCCTTCCTAGATCTCTCCTTCAGATCTGTGTGTTAAGGCCTATTTTGGAATCTCTATTGGGTATCTCAAATATACCTCAAAATTAACATATCTCATTTAATCTTATCAACTCTCACAACCAAAAACCTTGTACCTCCATGGACCTCCATTGGAGTGAATGGCAACATTATTCATTTAGATGCACGGGCAAGAAAGATGCCTGAGAATCATCTTGGAACCCCCCTCCTAACCACTCC